TTCTCCACCCCGCACAACATGATCTACTCGACCACCATTATGGTTACTGCCAAAAAAAAATAAACGGAGGTCAAAAAAAAATAAACGGTAACCTGGTTGCCGAGTTCACGAAGTGAATCGGCTTGTTTTACAACGTCGTTGCCAAGCGACGAAAACCCAACCCCGATGGTAAACACCGGGGGCGGAGGGGGTAGAATAGACGCTCTGCTTTCCCGAATAACAGCAAGTCATCAAGGACAAAGCGCGAGAAGCGCGCGACTTTCGTAGAGATGCTTCAGTCCCTCCATCCACCCCTCCGTCCCCCACCCGTCTGTCTACCTCTTTCTCTGTCTCCCAGCTCCCAGACTTGCTCTCTCGACCTGAATGCTGCATGCGTCTCTTGCCCCTTACCTTGCCGTCCTCCATGACGAGAATCCTGTCCGAGTCCATGATCGTGTTGAGCCGATGGGCAATAGTGAGAACTGTGCACCCTGAAAACTCCTGGCGAATCGCCTCCTGCTCTCGCGGGAAAACAATCACGATGGTCGGCGGCGGCGGAGGGGGGGGGCGGGTACTCATGTTTTGCATGCCTTAGCGGGAAGACCATCCACCACGCGTTCTCGAGGAGACGGAGCGTTGTGTACCCACTTGACCGATCGGCGGGGCATCAAGAGCTCTGCGGGGGCAGAAGCACCTCGAATAGCACTCTCGTGGTTAGGCTCGCTAGACCTAACTGCAGGTCTAAGGTCGAGAAGGGTGAGGGAAGTCGGGGCTGGCTCTTCCTGATCTGTCAACAACAACGACGACGATACAACAACAACAACAACAACGACGACGACGACGACAACAACAAACCTGGATCAACGAGTCGGTGTCGACGTCGACGTTAGCGGTGGCCTCGTCCATGACCAGGATCTTATTTCGCCGGAGCACCGCGCGGGCCAGGCACACCAGCTGCCTCTGCCCAAGGGAAAGGTTTTCTCCCCCCTCGCTCACCTGAACAAAAAAAAAATAACAACCATCACGTACAACCGGACGAACGCGCACGTCACGGACACGAGCCAGACCCACGCCTCATTCCAAAACAAGTAAAAAATAAAAAAAGTGTCCGTGGTCGATTGTGCGCTTACAAAACTAAAACAAAACGTTCGTGGATCGTTCGTGCACTTCCAAAAGAACAGAAGTCCGAGGTCGTTTGTGATTTTTTGTGAAGAAAAAAGAAATGGTCATGTGTGCGCCTTCGTGCGCAAATCATCGTGCGCAAATCAAGGCGCGAAGTGTTTGCATGTCCGTGTTTTACCGGTGCGATGGTACATGCATGTTGGCGCAAGCTTTCGCCCCTACCTCGGCCTCGAGCTTGCCCTCCAGGCCGGACACGTAGTGCGCCAGGCGAGCCGCCTCCAGGGCGGCCCAAATGGTCACGTCGTCGCAGAGCCCGAACGGGTCGAGGTTGTCCCGTATTGTCCCGCAGAACATCACGGGGTCCTGTCGTGTGAGGGGGTCATGCATGTCACGAGTTGGGGGTTGGGCGTGATAAGTAAGTGTGCTTGGAGATCATGGTATGAAGTGATTCAATGGTTACCCGATGAGGAGCACCGCCACACGAGGTATGTAGCATCAATACAATTATCTAACAATCGACACCAACCACAACGATAAACACGCGCGAAAATAACAATAAACAGCAACAGCAGAACAAAGAACGAGAACAACAACAGCACCAGCGGAAGCAAAACGAACAGCAACTGCAGCAGAAAAGAACAAAAAAAACGAACAATAACATCGATAAACAAACACCCACACCGCCACCAACGCCAACAACATTACACCCACGAACAACGACGAAAACAACAACAACCAACACAACGACGAAAACAAACAGCACCAGCACCAACAGCAACAACAGCAACAACAGCAGCACCAACGGCAAGGCAGGCACCTGAGGGATGATGGAGATGGCCTTCCGAAGGTCCTGTAGCCCTATCCTCAGCCCGTCCACCCCGTCGATCATCAGGCTGCCGCCGCACGGCTCCACCATCCTGAACAGGGTCACCATCAGGGAAGACTTGCCCGAACCGGTCCGGCCGGCGATGCCTATTCGCTCTCCTCCCTTCAGGGTTTCCGAACAAAGCAGAAAAAAAAGAACGTTGTCAATCGCGTCAGGTGTGCATGCATGGGGCCTTCCTCAGTACACCGTTCCCGGGGGGTCCTTTGGGCACCATGGTGGTCAGCACGAATGAACGACAAGCACGCCAACACCCCTCGCGAAGTATTCGTTTTATTTGACCCACGCCCGCGTCGCCAAAAAATGTGGTGGGCGATGCCGTACACCGCATGTTGCATGGTACGTACTATACCACACCTCCTTTTCGAACGATCTTCAAATCTCGATCACGCACAGTAGTGACGCTGCCGACAACGACGGGAGGCGTTGGAACCTTCTCGTCAAGGCCTTTCCAAAAAACGCATCATTTGATTCGTGCATCTTCTCCATCATGGAGTAATTGAGCTTTGAAAATCGGTCAAAGGGGGGGGGGTGTACTCATAGTCGTGCATGCCGTAGTCGTTAGACCATTGACCTCGCATCCCTACAAAGCCGGGACGGAGCACGCCG